CTTGACTGGTTCAGTTGTATATGACTTGATGCTTACATCAGCATCTCATGTCTCCTGCTGATTTTTCCTGTTCTCTGACAAGTATCACAACTTGTAATGAAGGCCTGGGCGTCCCTGAACATAGTAGACTACCAAAATCCAGCTTGCAGAACCTTGAAGACTGTTTTGAATGTGGTAAAGTGTCCAGCATACTCTGATCCATGACAGTGAAATAAGACGTCCTGCACTTCTTCTTCTGCTATGCATCTCCTGTACATCCCATCAGCACAATGCCTGTAGAGGTATGGCTCATCCCAATAGAATCTCCTAAGTTCTCTCAAGAACTTCTTCTTAGCATAGCCCTTGAAGTCATGTGGCTCATCCTCTGCAGCAAGGTAGTTTGCAATATCAGCATACCAGGACCTCTTTGGATCATTCAAAACATAAACAGGCTCTTCAAAAGTCATCCCCAAGCTTGCACAAATCGCAGAAAAGTGCAGAGATTGGTGACGAGCATCACCAATATTGGTGACGAGCGTTACCTCTGTTGTACAACTCGGTCGCGACTGTTCTTGGTTGGTGACGAGCGTCACCCTCCTGGTGTCACTCGTCACTCCCCTCCAGTTTCGAGAAAACTGCAGGTTTTCAACACTTTCCTCATGTTCTCTTTTTTCCACCAAGTAAACATTCTCTTCAGGCAAGAAATCATTGATTGGGACACTGTCTTCGACCTGAATCCTGGACAGATGATCAGCAACACCATTCTCAACACCTTTCTTGTCCTTCACTTCAATGTAAACCTCCTGAAGAAGCAGGATCCATCTCAACAGTCTTGGCTTTGCATCCTTCTTCTGCATTAGATACTTCAGTGCTGAATGGTGAGTAAGGACCACGACCTAGGAGCCAACAAGATACTGTCTGAACTTTTCAAACACAACAGCTAACAATTCCTTCTCAGTTGTTGCATAGTTCTTCTGAGCATCATCCAAAGTCCTACTTGCATAGTATATGGCGTGGAGCTTCTTGTCTTTCCTCTGTCCCAGCACTGCTCCAGCTGCAAAATTGTTGGCATCACACATTACCTCAAAAGGTAAGTCCCAATCTAGAGGCTGCACAACAGGAGCTGTAACTAAAGCTTGCTTTATCTGTTCAAAGGCGGATTTTCACTCTTCTGTGAACTCAAACTTCACATCTTTGCAAAGGAGAGCAGTAAGGGGGCGTGCTATCTTGCTAAAGTCCTTGATGAATCTTCTGTAGAAGCCTGCATGACCCAGAAAACTCATCACTGCTTTGACTGAATCAGGTGATTGCAGACTTGTCATCACCTCAATTTTTGCCCTATCTACCTCTATACCGTTTCCTGAGACTCTGTGACCAAGCACAATTCCATCCTGAACCATAAAATGGCACTTCTCCCAGTTCAAAACCAAATGCTTCTCTTCACATCTCTACATAACTGCACACAAGTTATCCAAGCAGCTCTTGAAAGAGGACCCATAAACAGAGAAGTCATCCATGAAAAGCTCCATAAACTTCTCAATCATGTCTGTGAAGATCGACATCATGCATCTCTCGAAGGTTGCAGGAGCATTACACAGCCCAAAAGGCATTCTGCGATATGCAAAATGCCATAAGGACAGGTAAAAGTGGTCTTCTCCTGATCATCTGGATGGATTGGGATCTGAAAGAAGCCTGAATACCCATCAAAGAAGCAGTAATAATTGTGATTCGCCAGTCTCTCCAGCATCTGATCGATGAAAGGCAGAGGAAAATGATCCTTCCTTGTTGCTGCATTCAGTTTGCTGTAATCAATACACATCCTGTGTCCTGTCACAGTCCTGGTTGGGATCAGCTCATCCTTGTCATTCTTCACCACTGTGACACCTCCTTTATTGGGCACCACGTGCACTGGACTCACCCAAGCACTGTCTGATATAGGATAGATGATACCAGCCTGCAACAACTTCATGATCTCTTTCTTGACCACATCCTGCAAATTCAGATTCAGCCTCCTCTGGTGCTCAACTGATGATTTCGACTCATCCTCTAAGTGTATCCTATGTATGCACAAGTCCGGGGAGATCCCTGAAATATCATCAAGAGAATAGCCAAGAGCTTTGAAATTTTTTTGCAGCTTACTTAACAAAAGGGTGAGCTCTGCATTGTTCAATGAAGCATTAACAATTACAGGATATGTGGAGTTTTCTCCAAGAAATGTGTACCTTAGCCCTGCAGGGAGCTGTTTAAGCTCAACTTTTGGTGCTTTTGCTGCAGACCAATCACCCATTGTAGCAGCTTTCACAGATGTGGAGACAAGCTCATCCTGTGCAACCAGTTGCATCACTTGTGCAGTAGCATCCATCATCTTTGTGTAGCCTGTTGCAGTAGCATCTAAATGCTCATACTCTGCTGTAGAAGTGGTCAATTCCCTCTCCAAGAGGTCCTCTGAACTCATCTCATGGAAGATCTGATCAGCAATGTTTGTGAGAACATCCACATAAAAAGTCTGTCCATCTATGGTTGTCCTCTTAATCAGCTTGTCCATTTTGAATTTCATCACTAAATCACCAACATTCTGCTCCATTCTATCCTTCCTGACATCAATGATAGCTCCTGCAGTAGCCAAGTAGGGTCTGCCAAGAATCAAGGGATCTTTGAGTTCTTCTCCATATTCTAGAACCACAAAATCAGTAGGAATCATACAATCTCCTACTTTGATAGGAATATCCTCTATCACCCCTTCAGGAACTCTGACTGATCTATCAGCTAGGATAAGAGATATCCTTGTAGCCTTAAAATTGGTCATCCCCAAGCTCTTGGCAATAGAATGAGGCATGAGGTTCACACTAGAACCAAGATCACACAATGACCTCTCAAACTTGTCATTGAAGATTGTGCAGTCTAAAACAAAGCTTCCTGGGTCTGAAAGCTTCTCTGGAACTCTGTTCTGATTCACTGCACTGACCTGCTCGTTGATCATCATAGCCCCAGCCTCTAAACTCAAGTTATTGGTCACCATCCTCTTCACATACCTTCTAATTACAGGAGTGATCCTTACAGCATCAAATAATGGGATCTCAATAACCAATTTGTCCATGATAGCTTTGCATTTAGCATCTTTAAGCTCCTGCTTAGACTTCTTAGGATGCTTAGGATAGGGTATTTTGGACTTATACACTGTCTCCTTAGCATTATCTGAAGTCTTAGACGAAACTGCAGTATGTGGCAACGGGTGACGAGCGTCACTGGGATGGTGACGAGCGTTACACGCTTTGGACAAGTCGGGGTCGATTGCTCGATTTGGGTGACGAGCGTCACCCTCCTGGTGACGGTCGTCACCACTCTGTGAAGAAAGGTCATCAGGGTTGTGCTCGAGAGGTGACGAGCGACACCCATCATTGGTGACGAGCGTCACCCGTGGTTCTTCAGTAGAAATTTTTCATCTTCATACTCTACAATACCCACGAAATTCATTGAGGTTAAATCCTTCTTCAACACTGGTTTTGCAGGTTCTTTCCATTCCTCAATGTGATGGCATTCACATGGTGTTTGGGATTAACATCAGTTCTTCCTGGAAAAAATCCTTCTTGTCCCTGAACAGCTACTGCAGTTTGGGCAACTTGAACATCAAGCTTCTTCATATGAGAGTTCAGACTCTCAAATTTTGCATTTAAACCTTGATAGAGCGAATCTATCTTGCCATTGAAGTCCACTGTAAGCTTATGTTGTCCTTCCAAGATCTGTTCCAGCATTGCTTCCATTTTGTTCCCTTGTAGAGGTGCAGGTTGATAGGAAGAAGAACCATAGTTTCTGTAATTTCCACTGTTCTGGAATGGTTTCTCGTACTCTGGCTTCTCGAATGGGGGCTTAGGAGTGAAACCAGGCGTGCTCTGTCCTCCTGTAAAGGTGCTTTTTTGGTTGTTGTTGTTGTTGTACCCACCAATGAAGAAGCCCCGGAAAATAGTTAGCAATCCAAAAAGACCATTTTAACACTTCTCTTCTATAATCGTTTTTCATCACACTCTTTAGAATCGACGGCCATCGGAAATTCACAACCGGAGCCACCATCACAACTCCTGCTAACCTGTTACAAACCATATTTATGATAATTCTTAGTTCTGATTGATAGCAAAATATAACTGTTTAGATTTTTGTGCGATATGGATTGAATTGAATCATAAGTAAACAGCATTATAATGTGACTTACTAGATACAATACACGACGATCTTACTTTGTAAATCTATGTATCTATGTGTCCCGTGAGATTTATTATAGTTTGTTCCGTATTGGTATTAGTTGTTTGTTATATGGTCTCACTTATAATGTAGATCACTTACTAAGTGTGACATTGTACTCAAATTAACCGAGCCAAAAAAATTATTGTTTTTTTTAATCAATGCAATTATTTAGAAACCAATATTAGTTCCATAAATATTATATCATCAAATAAAAATATATACTGAACTAAGGCCTAGACAAAACGAGAGCCAAGCTTTCAAAACCAATTTTTTTTTTCAATAGTATACAGTATGTTTGATAATAGTAATTAGAAAAATCAACCTAATGCCAAACTAGAACTGAAACGAACAAAAATATTTCAAAAGACTAAAGCCTATTCGTTTTTTTTTTATCTAGATGATACATTTAGATTAAGCATATATAGCTGCAACTTTCAGATGTAGTATCTTGATATTATTCGTTTTAAAGCTAGTTTTTATATTTGGATACAGCGTTTGGATGTAACATTGTTGGATTGTGAATTTATACAAAAATATGTATGTAAATATCTCAAATGACCAAAAACGTAAATAGATTTTCGACTGATTTGGCAATGAGCATTCGGGATAATATCTCAACTGACCAAAAAGCATAAATATCTTAAATGACCAAAAGCATAAATATAGTAATTTTTGTTGTTGTAGTGTAAGTACTGTTTTGGCAATGAGCGTTCGGGAAAATCGTAATGAAGCAATAGGTAGGAGTTAGGACCAAGATGGAAGGAAAGCAAAAACAATTGTCTGCACTTGTGAAAATTTAACAAATATAATGTTAAACAAAAAAATTAATAAATATAAAAACAATTTGACCTTACAATATAAATTTGAACGTGTTCTTGTGCTATATTATATAATTTAATCCAATCTTGAAGCAAGTTTTTGCGACATCTTGGAAGACTTTTACGCATTGATAATAACTTAATATATTATTCGATTTGATTTCTTTACCTTTCAGGAATGTGTTTAAGGCAACTCCAAACGGTGTATGACCCCATCGAGATTCCGATCAAATAAAACCTTGACCCAATTTGTAACCGATCCGCGAGTTCTTGAACATCGCAAGCTTCACTCTTCAACGATCGTTTAGGATTTGGGTCACTCTCTCCATAACCAGCTCGATCGTATAGCACAAAGTATATACCATTTTCTTCTACAAACTCCTGAGATTATAACTAAAGCAAACCTCATTAGTCTTCAACCAAATCTCTCTAATAACATCTACTTTTACAGACATGTCACATCAAAAATTACAACTACAAAATCATGTGTGGTCTCCATTACTCAGTTTCTTGGATCTTGTACAATAGATTAGAAAGGTAAATCTCTCTTCATTTTATATAATTCACAAAGTTGTGAAATAAAAAACAGGAGCACACAAAAAAATTAACGAGGTCCAACAAAAAACGACAGGTCGAGTTCCTTGAATTAAAATTGAATTAAAAGGACATAGTTTGGATCGCAATATTAAAAGTACAAAAAAATTGGATCGATGACTCTGAAAAAAAGAAAGGAAACATATAGAAAAATAAAGGATCGATTGAATAGAAGATTAGTGTATACTTGTGAGACATTGAAGTTCATGTCCTTGGAGCTACCAAATCCATGAACAAGAACGATGGTAAACTTAGCTTCATCCTTGGAAACACCTCTTTCCTTGTAAGCCAAGTATCTACCATCACGAAGTTTGATTCTACTTTGGGGATTTAGAGGTTGATCAGACATTGTTGTTGACCTCGTGAAGAAGAAAAACGAAGAAGAGGAATGTGTAAAGCATTAGGACAAGGAGGAAAGGTAGATATAGCTGGAGTTGTCAGTAGAGTTATTATTCTATATACGTAATATTTGAAGAGCATTATTCTATTATATATAGGCATTAGAAAAATTGGGTTTTTCTTAGTGGTTCGATTATGAACTTTTAATAGAATATTTTAGGATCGTTGGAATATTCCGAATGCTGTTGCTTCGATGTAGAGACGAGGGAGCTAGAAAAAAGAATAAATTTCACAAAAAAATAACTTTTGTTATATATATATATACTAGGAGAAGTTCTGTGCGTTATACGGATTTGTAATATGTTGACTATTTTAATTTTATAATTTATTTTATTATATTTGTTAATAAAAGTTTGTTAGTCTATAATAGTATCTACGTTGTAAATACTATTTAAAATTTATATTAAAAATTTGGCAAAATAATAATGTTAGGCTTGACTATATTAGAGGAGTGAAACAGCTATCTCGGATGACATGAATTTTTTTTATGAAAGCAAATAGTACATGATTTTCTGTTTGATTGGTCATAAAAAAACGTGAAGTAATGAGTATATTTTCTAGGCAGAAACAATAACGCAGTCAGCTCTTAAGAATATAACAAAAATATAAAATTATATAAAATATGAGACATAATGAAAAGAATTCAAGAAAAGGGAAAAACTATAACGTTGTTTTGTATATGATCGATGAAAGTGAATACAGAAGAAATAGGAAAACAAAAACAGAAAGAGAAAAATGGTGAATGTTGACGATACTATATTATATACGATTTATACTTCGTTAGGTGGTTTGATTTTCGTATATATTTTTTGGATAAAAGGGAATCTTTTGGAGAAAGAGAAAAAAAAACAGAAGCTTTTGTTTTTGTGTTAGGTCAATGAAAAAGAATCTAGTAGAAATAAAATAAAAAAGAGAATAAAAGTGATACATGTCAATTTCTAAGATGAGGCGTGACAGCATATAAGAGTTTTTTATGAACAAAAAACTTACTATATTTTATATTAAAAGGTTTGTAAAATAATAATATCTATAGAGAATGAGGTTTGATCTTGTTAGGGAAGTAAAGCTGCAATTGTCCCGAGAAAGCATGCGTAGATGATCGAAAAGAAGCTCATAGAGAGTATAATCAAGATTGTGATAGTGATGGCTGTTTGAAGTTCGATGGGGTAAAAAAAAATGGAGTGACCTATTAATCTATTAAAAAATTCATGAAAGAAAATAATGCATGCTTTCGGTTTGATTGGCCCAAAGAAAATATAAAAGACATAAATCTGTTTTTTGCAATAAGAAAATATCATAGTCAACTCTTATAAGTTAAAAAAAACTTTCTAAATAATGTGAAGTAAGAAACATAATGAAAGAATATTTTGATAAGAAAAAAAAAGTTAAAATGACACATGATCTTACTATATTATATAAAAATTATTTGAGTAATTTGATTTTTGTTTCTGTTTATTGGATGAAAAATAATGTTTGTACAAGAGAAAACAAAAATCAATTCTTTTTCACGAAAGCAAATAATACATGAAGAAAACATAAAGAAATGAATCTATTATTTTGCGATGAAACAATATTACAACCAGCTCTTAAAAATTTAAAAATATTTTTAAATAATGTGAAGTAAGAGATATAATGAAAAAGAATAGTGTTGAGAAGAAGAAAAAAACAAAAGAGAGAAAAAGTTATACATCATCTTATTATATATAAAATTTGTTTTGACATTCTTTTCTGTTTGTTGGATGTAAAATAATCGTATGTAGAACAGAAAAAAAAAACTGAAGTTTTGGTTTTGTATTTGTCTGATGAAAGTAAATTTAACAGAGATAGTAAAAGAAAAATAAAAAGTGACGTATGTCAGTTTCTAAGATAACACGTGACAGCATATTAGAGTTGTTTATAAAAAAATGTAAATATATTTTATAAGAGAGAGTTAGGTTTGATCTAATTAAGGAAGTGAAGCTGGCACTGTTCCTATGAACCATGCGGTGATGATCAGAAAGAATGTCCTAGAGAGTAGAATCCAGATTATAATAGTGGGGGTGGTTTGATGTTCGATAAATTAGGAAAAAAATGAGCGAGCCACTAATCTAAAAATATTTTACGAAAGCAAACAATGCATGATTTTCTGTTCGATTGGCTAAAAAGAAAACAAAAGAAATGAATCTATTTTCACGCAAAAACAACATCATAATCAGCTCTTGAAAGTTAAATTTTTTTTTTCTAAATAATGTGAAGTGAAAGGAATAATGAAAGAGAAATGTGTTGAGAAGAGAAAAAAAAGTTAAGCGTTGTTTTTGTGTTTGTTTGATGAATGAGAATATAGTAGAAATATGACACATGACTTTATTATATTATATAAAATTTGTTTGAATGATTTGATTTTTATTTCTATTTGTTGGATGAAAGAAAATCATTTAGAGAAAAATAAAATAAAATGAAGTTTTTTTTTTGTCTTTGTTTGATGAAAGAGAATTCTATAGAAATTGTCAAAACAAAAGTGACACATGTCAAATTCTTAGATATCTTGTGGTAGCATATCAGAACTGCTTATGAAACAAAAATATTACTTTATTAGAATATATATATGTGATGGTAAATTATATGTATATATGATTCATTAATCTATATATATAAAGTAATATTTTTTCTCTTCTAGTTCTGCTACCTCAGTATTTATATTATTAATTACTTTTCATTACAAAATTTAAAAACATAAACTAATATACAAATAAAAAACATTACATACAACTATAAATCATTGCCCAAAAAACAACAATAAGAACATAGAAAAATAAATAAAGCAAACATAATGATATACAAGTACTGAGTATTTTGAACTTCAAACGAAAATTTACGTGTGTTGGATGAGAATTAGTAGTTTAGCAGAATTTTGGATAAAGATAAACTTTGTGACAAATATTTTCAGAAAATTTATACAAGATTTTTTAAATTTTAATTTAAGAAAAAAAAAAAAAAATATATATATAAAGTAATATTTTCTCTCTTCTAAATCTGCCATCTCAGCATTTATATTATTAATAACCTTTCATTAATTTAAAAAAAAACTTAAATTAATATAAAAATAGCAAAACATTAACATACAATAATAAATTATTGTCAGAAAAAATAAGAACATAGAAAAATAAATAAACCAAAAATAATGATATAAAAACTCTAAGTATTTTTGAATTCAAAACAGAAATTTACGCGTGTTAAATGAAAATTGGTAATTTAGCAAATAGAAAATAATTTACAAAAGTAATCTGATAAAAAAAATATACAAAATAGGAAATTCGAGTAACAAGACCAATTTAGAATATTGCCTTATCTAAAATTTACTCACAAACTTTCAAAAATTTGGATAAAAGTCAATTTTGAGACAAATAATCTAGAAAAATTCTAAAAAGTCGAAGCAATTTAGGAAAATTATATACAATTTTTAAAATTTCAATTGCTAAACGGGTAATTCAAATATCTAACATCATATATGTACTTTTTCTGTATTTGATTGACTAAAAATGATCTCAATTGTGCAATATTTGAACGGAATCGAGATATGACTGAAAATTTGAAACATATACAAGTGATAAAGAAAAACACATGCCAAAATATTTACAGCTGCAATATACAAAATGCATACAAATGACATACAACTACAAATCTGCGCATAGATGCAACAAATGTAATATAAAAATGCATAAAAATAATTAAATAATTCAGGTGTAAAAATGATTAAAAATATTTCATTAATTATTACAAGAATAAACTAACACATAGATTTTATTATAATCATAAAAATAAATATAAAAATATCAAATATTAATATAAAACTAGATGTTTGACCCGCGTGTCCACGCAGGTATATAATTTTTTAATATTGGTAATATTATATATTCAAATTATGTAACAAAACATTAATATGTACTAATTATAATTGTCTAAAGTAATAATTTTTATATCGTTTCTTTTTTTATATAGTGGAACTTCATATATTCTAATATATATTATTTGTGTCAACGGTTTATTATTCGTAAATGCGGATTATATATATATATATATATATATATATATATATATATATATATATATATACAAATATTGAAATGGTAATTTGGTAAAAATAATAAATGTTCATACGATACAAAATTTATAATTGTTTATTTAAATAGTATGGTCAAATATAAATTTAGTAATATTATACAGATTCATTATCCTGCAATTATTTTATATATGTATAAAGTTAAATTAGTAATATAATAATAAAATTATTCAGTAAAAACTGATTATTTAACCATTGGGCCGAAACAAAAAATTAGGTAATATATATAGCCTATTTTGGGCCACATATAACTCGTCTCCGAGCCCAAACACTACGAAAAACCCAACAAATCTCATCTTCTCGGCCCAAACACTACAAAAAACCCAACAAATCTCACCTTCCCTAACTCTTCGCTTTCCTAAACGAAGCTTTGTCTGTATCGTCCGAGAAACCACCTTATCATCTTAGATCTCTTCTAGATTCTGTTCGAACAATTGACAACACTCGACGATTACTAAAAAATTGTTTCATCAACTCGAACACCTCTGGAGATGAAGATAATCGAAGAATCGTGACTGAAGAAAAAGACGGAAACGTTCTGAAGAGTCACACAAAAAAAGTAAGTTCTTCATATGATCGAAAATTTCCAAAATTGATTTTTGTGTTTCGGATCTGAAATTTTAAAATGATGAATAGGTCTTCACGAAGTAGTATTTCATTAGAAATTTCTGATGGTTTAATATTTGGTTCATCGTTGGGTAATCAGATTTAGAGAATAACTTAGTAATTTTTTTATGGATAATTTGATAATCTAACTAAGCTTTTTACAGGTTTCACCAACATCAAATCGATATTTTGAGGAAGATGAAGAATGAAGATGACTAAATCAAAGGTTTGTCCAAAAATAGTTTTTCTCTATCACCCCAAATGTTGATAATTTATTTATGGATATAGTTCTTAAAATTGATTACTTCTCTGTCTCTGTGTTTCAAAACATGTTGTGGAGTTTTTGA